AGTGTTGACTGGTGTCACTATCTCGCGAACGCGCCGGCGAATCTCCACCAAATTCGAGGGAACCCTTCAGCTCGAGGAGCCCTCTCGGACGCCACCCTCCGCGCGTCGGTAGCCCCCCGGAATCGCTAGATCGGTCGCCGCCGGACCGCAAATTTAACCAGCCGTAACTCCCGAACCCCGGGGGCTATCCACGCGGGGGTGGTCTCATTCGAAAGAGGGCCTCAAGACATACACTCGATTCGCGTTCGAGAGGGTTCCTCGAGCTGAAGAGATCCCCCGAATTTGGTGCGGATTCGCCGCGCCGTTACGGAGATATGGCCGTTCAAAGTTTCAATGGTTTTCCATAGACTTAAGCTTTAAAGCATTTCATCCAGGTCGCCAGTAGCAAACTAAGTAATTACACCATTTCAAGCATTTTATCTGCATTATATGTTCTGTAAAAAACAATTTCATATCGGCGGCATATTCGCCGATACCGATATATTGGCGACAGGCTCATATCGGCTGATAATATCGGCAAAACGATATATCAGTCGGGCGCTAATAAAAATCCAATTCAATAAAAATAATGTTTTCTTAATTTCCACAGTAAAATTATACCGTTACAATGAAATTTATTTTGGTGTAGAATTGAAGCAAAACCTTTGTTTCAATAATTATATCAAACCATATCCCAATTTTGATTTTACTTTTATTAATTGTGCATTCCTAGTTGTTGTGGAAGTTTGTGTAGAATTCTGCAGACTTCTCTGTTTGTCCATTCTGTGTAGGCCTGCCCATTTGTCCTTTAATCAAACTTACTTTACTTTATAATATCAATTTGATCCATGACATCTCAGAAACTCCCCAGCCTCATCAGAAAAGGATGTATGGAGAGACAAGCAGCAGTGGAGCCACTGACCAGAATCCCTCCATCAGATCAGTGACTGCATCTGCTGCAGTGGCATTCCCATCTTAATTGGGTGCTACGTTCAGGCGATGAGTGTTTCACCAACAGTATAAAAGCGGCCCGGACGCATACCCTCACAGACGATAACGCAGCCGAGCAGTTTGCGCTCAGAGGCATGGGGCAGATCTTCATTCAGGAATTGGATGTTAATTGATTTGATAATTCCCTGTGGTCTTTCCTCTTACGTGCTCGCGTCTCTCTCAATCTGCCGCCTCGCCTCTCACTGGCCACAGCAGGCTGCTGGGCGTTAGACCTGCTCTCCAATTAGCGTGTGTGGGCATGTTAACTTCCGAGTCTACCTGCCTCACATTAGCACCTCTTCACTGGCCTCTTTTGGTCCAGGAAAGTGGATTTTACAGATTTCGCTGGAAATCCCTCACTCATGGCACAGCATTAATGAATTGGCCTGAACTCTTGTGCACTGGCTCTCAGCTGCACATCATCGCCGGCTCCGCTGTTGATGAAGAATGTTAACTTGTAATCTCTTTGGCAGATGTCTGAGTGCATTAGATTTATCGCTCAGCTGTTCCTTGAAGGTATGGCCGTAATTGTTAATGAGTTACTCACACACGGATGAGTCCTGAACAAAATCGATTGCTCTTGATGCTTTGGATTTTCTGTTCCACTCAACACTCTTAACAA